AAATAGTCAAGTAAGTACCACCCCAACATGATCACACATGCAACAGAAGAAAATCGTCCCCGAAATACAGTATGACTATTTTTGTATCTTTCCCCTGTAGAGGGACGTGCCCGATCTAAGAGTAGCGTTAAGTCGGCCCTGTTCCCCTACAGGCAGATGTTGGACGATTTTTGTGTTGATGATACCCCGAGAATGCCCCCCAAAAAGCTCCAACCTACTCGAAACAGAACAGTCCCCAGACCATATTCTTCACTACTCTTGAAGATTCCCCCTGTAGAGGGGCGTGCCCACTCTAAGAGTAGCCCTCCTCCTCCTCCTCCTACTCCTCCTCCTCCTCCTCCTCCTCCCTCTTCCTCCTCCTCCTCCTCCTCCTCCTCCTCCTCCTCCTCCTCCTCCTCCTCCTCCTCCTCCTCCTCCTCCTCCTCCCCCCCCGCCCGTGGTCGGCGCTGAGCCCGCCACCCCGGGCGCGCGGAGCGCGCCAAGGGCCAGCGCCGGCAGCGCCGCCTCGAGGGGTGCCCGCCGGCGCAAAAAGCCAAGAGGAGCCTCCGCGCAGCACTCCGAGGAGCTCCTGCGCTCTTGCCGCCTGGCCTCCCTCGGGGCCGAGGGCGTGGTCGAGCGAGCTCGCGTCGCTCTCGAGGGACAGGCGGGGGCGGAGCCTGCCATCCGCCGATCTGGCGCTTCCTCGCCCCGCGGCCACCAAAAAGGTCCCGACTGCTTCCCTGGGGGCCGTCCCGGATCCATTTGTCTAGAAGAAGAAGAAGAAGAAGAAGAGGAAGAGAAAGAAGGCGAAGAAGAAGAAGAAGAAAGAACGAACGAACGAACGAACGAACGGCGTAAACACAGACTGTTGGCGCTCCGCGCAAATTTCTTGGATCTACGCCGAACGCTGGACCCCCCTCCTAGGCCGCGGAACGCGCCAGGGGCGGCGCCGGAGGCGCCGCTGGGGGGGGTCCAGCGCGGATGCAAGAAATCCGTGCGGAGCGCGAAACGTGTGTGCGTACGCCGTCATTTCTTCTTCGATTGTCGTGCCCCTGGGGCCCGCAAAAAACGGCCGCCGGGCCGAGGCCCGAAACCGAGGACAGGCCGCTGGATGGGAAAAGACACATCGTCGGAGGCCTGCTGAGCGGGGGCCTCGTACGGCCGGCGTGCAGGCCCTCGTACTCGGCGGCGAGCTCGAGCAGCCGCTGCCGGAACAGGTGCGGGTTCATGGCGCGGGGCTGCGCAGGAGGCGCCCACACACCGCCGCCGTGCCTGCGCAGGGCCACGCCTGAGCTCCAGGAGGGAGGAGGGAGGAGGGAGGGAGGAGGGAGGGATGAGGAGGGAGGAGGGAGAGGGAGAAGGGAGGAAGGGAGAGGGAGGAGGAGAGGGAAGAGGGAGGAGGGAGGAGGGAGAAGGGAGGAGAGAGGAGAGAGGAGAGAGAGGAGGGGGAGAGGAGGATGGAGGAGGAGGAGGAGGAGAGTGAGGAGGAGAGGATGAGAGGAGGAGGACTAGGAGAGGGAAGGAAGGAGGAGGATGAGGCTGGCGGAGTGTAGTGATGAGGTGAGGAGGTAAGGAAGGCTGAGGAGGCAGGGAGCGAGGGAGGGAGGTAAGGGTACAAGCGCCGATCAGGGAGCAAGTTACGCAGGGCTCAGGGGTGTGGCGTGCCAACCCTGGACGGCTCGCTGACGCGGAAAAAACAGCTACGATCAAGAAGCTGGATGGGCGGGAGTTTCTGCAGCATTTTCGGCCCGTGGGCCCTCGCCCTGCGGCCCCTCGGCCTGTCCATGTGGCTCTTGGGCCGTTTGGGGGCCCTCTTGGGGCGGTCTTGGGGGCCTCTCTGGGCGTTCTGGGGCCGTCTTGGAGGCCTCTTGGGCGATCTTGGGGCGATCTTGGGGGGGCTCTCGGGCCGTCGGGAGGCCGAAAAGAAGCACATGCCTTCAAACGCCTGCGGACATTCAATGAGTTTGGCCTCTGTGGGCCTTCCTGGAGGACCTCTGGGAGGTCTCGTGGGCCGTCCTGGAGGCCCCTTGGAGGCGTCTCGGAGCGTCCTGGGCCATCGTGGAGCCAGCTCGGGCAGTCTCGGTGGCTTCGTCGGTGGACCTCGGCGTCTTGGTGGCTTCGTCGGGCCTTCCTGGAGGCCTTCATTGAGGCCCTCCTGGGGGCCCTCTTGGAAGCCTCTTGGATTGTGTTGCTCCCATCCTACTTAAGGACCGCATCCCAGACATAATTTCGAGCACCCGGAGAAGTGTCAAAAGAGTGTCGAAACAGAGTCAACACAGTGTCGGGCGAGTGTCTCCCGGGGCCCGGCACGTGACAACCCTTGAGCTTCGGCACTTTTTTGGGCGCTCGAAATTCTTGCTGGAAGTCAGGGCTAAAGTAGGTTGGAGCACCAGAACTCTTGGACCGACTGTCGGCTAGGCGTAAGAGTGACCCTGGGTAAGAGTGACCTTTGGTGCGCAGCTTTTGAGGGCGCGAGGGAGCCAAACCCAAGGGCGCGGGCCGCTTATATCGCATCGCGCTC